GTCCAAGTCTTTTGACAAGTTGCGTATAGGCTGCCCATTCCCGTCACTAGTTCCACTAACACCAGGTATCCTGCTGCCCGTTTCCCGTATCTTCCGGTGGTTACCAAGGGTAGCAGCTGTCTCCATCTCCGACACACGATGAGACCACCAGGATTCGCGGTGTCTGTTCAGGCTAGCATACAGTTTTATCCTGAGGTCTGCGGGTCTCGTCGTGTTCGCTCTCAGTCAGAACACCTCGGTCAGTATCGATAAGTTCTAGAGAGAAGAGACCCAATGTCCATGTTAGGTGTTGCATTTCCCACATAAGGATTTGCTTGCTACTAGTACGATCTAGTGAACATGCGACTAGTGACCATTATATATGTTCAGTTAGCGCTTACTCAACCCGAATGCCAGCATACTTCCATAAGCATTCAGTACATCTGGCTCAGCTAGTTGGCTGGTGTCAATGTTCTCACTGCATCGTCTCGAACGTCCGCCAAACGCACCCCTAGATGAGCACATGCAACTGCATGGTCAGTGTCCATGCAGTGCTCCAAATCGTACGACAGTTCTGGACGCAGCCTCTCCAGCGGTAACTGACGGCAAAGTGATTGATTTGATTCTAAGGCTTATCCAAGACTGGAGTGCGCCACGCTACCCTATGGCGGATGCATTGTCGGAAGTTAGTGCTCGCAAGAAGCAGACGAGTATCTTCACACCAACGAAGTAATCGTTCACTGTCATCATTACAGGAGCCTACACCATGTTGACCGCCCAGATGCAGCCCTACAGGGGACAATTTTCCAACTTCTGCGTTCCCATTCACAACCAGCACTACAGTATCGGGGCTACTTCAGTGGCGAAAGAGCTCGTTCAATTGGCGACAGAAGCATCTTTCATTGAGTCAGTGCGATAGTTTGTGGGCGTGCAGGTTGCAGTGACAAACAGGAACCGTTTGTCTTCGCATGACTTCGAAGCTTTGAATGAGCCAGCCAATCTAACGGCATGCATGCGGCTACTGATTGGGATCCAACCAACCAGAACGGCTTTACTCCGGCGACTCCGGGTAAAACCCACACCGGCTTGGCCGGTACTCGAGGGTGCATCATCTCTGGATAGATGTATTGGGAAAGCACTGCTGGCGTCACCCTAGAGGATGGCAGAGTGAGCACAGAGATTATGTCTTGCATGCGAACCTCCGATAAGCAGTATACATCCAACGAGAGTGTCTCGAATGTTCGGCTGAGTGATGCTTATTGACTGATCTGTAGCAAAGTGCGTACCTTGAGGCATGCCATTCTGGGGGAGTATCGAGGGCAGCAAATAAAAGACCACGACTTCAGCTTGTTCGCTTAGTTGGACGGGGCAGCAGTGACACTCCGTGTTTGCGTGTGAGTTGTAGGTAGACGATAAACGCTTATCAAAGGAAGGTGGGGTGGGCCAGGATTTGGGGGTGAAAACGGGGGAGGAGGTATGGAAGTTGGAACGGGACGATAAGGATGAAAAAGTATGAAGGGGTATAAGAAAACGCGAAGGCATGAGCAGTAGCATTCAAATGTCAATCCACCCTGCTCAAAGCACAGATAGGGCGCCGTCAGTTATCCACAAAATCCGTTAGAACATTAAGAAGTTGTCTGAGGAGAGATGCATTGTATTGCATGAGCTGGATACTGTCAGGTTTTTCAGGATCCACGTGGCTCATAAATCCCCTTTGAGGGCACGATAGAGATGTTTCACAGAGGCGCAGTTTAGATAAAAATGTGATGGGAGCCAAGGGCGAAATCCAACCATTTTTTGATAATATCCAATGTGTGAGTGTAGGCAACGGAGTTTAGGATGGAATTCCAACGTTGACAAAATTGAAGAGATAAATACTCCGTCAACATTATAGAGCGCTATATTGTTCACTCAATTTCAAGCAGAATCCTCTATGCTTGGTGTTGTGGCTGAGTTTCAGCAAATGACGGCATACATGATTAGGGTCATCCAAGGTTTGTACAGTAATAACAGACTACAGTGTGGCCGTCGGTGGTGTCCGCTAAAACTCCCAGTAACTTTAGCCTTCGCTGGTAGGGCAGATTTCGTAGACCCTTGATGTTCTTCGTGGACTTACGTTGTGATGCCTCTAACGCCTCTAGGACCCGGTTCAACCAAGGTTGCCAAGCTTGGATGTCGTATTCAAGCTGAGGGTGCACGTAAGAATTGTGCATCATTCAGAAGGTTGATGGTTCAAAACTTCCGAATGGTGTCCGCAGCAGGCCGAAGTGTTTACTACCTCTTTTTGCAGCTACTTCGGACTGTTTTAAGCAATTAACGTCACTCTGTACGCGCACATCGGGGTCGTGTTCCTGGGAGCTGGTCTGCAATTTGTGTGCCCCAAGTCAATGCGTGTAGTCAGGCCTATGGCGTAAAAAACAATGCGCCAATTTTATACATTGAATGACAGGGTATCCTGAATTGACTAGTTTGAAATAGTGTTAAGATTACATGGGAGCTTTCCGTGGTTTCCCAGTCCTCTGATCCTCTGCCATGTCTTACTATCCTCTGCGAAGTATATTAAATCGGAATCAATTGTATAAGAATAGGCGAGACCTAAACACCAAACCTTGTGGTACACGGCACTCAACACCAATTGCGTCAGATATCGATTCCCCGGACTCTCGCTTCCAAATGACATTCGTGACGCCAATTACGTCTCCAAACTACGATTGGGTCACTAATGCCATAGTCCCGAGGTATGTGAAGTGGAGTAATGGAAACGAGGAGAATAGTTGGGAACGTCACCCACTTGAATGTGTGCGAGTAATGAAACCGTAAGAGATCGACTGCTTCTTCGCCGGTCGTAACTGGTGCTGGAATTCCGCGCTACAACTTACATGTACTACTAATTACATTTATTCTCAATAATTCCCCGTACCTGTATAAGAGTTTGAGGTTAATACATAATTGCTTCATTAACTCCTGCTAATGCATCATCTTGTACTTGCGGATCATTTTCACACAGAATTAACGCTGTACAACGAATACAGTCCACGTTTCTGCAATCGGGCCGTTCTTGTGAGCTAGCCATGCCAGATCCCTCACCGACCTGTTCGTGTGTTGTGTTCTTCAGGAATGGCTTGCGTTTTTTCGGCGGCGGAAGGATCTCCTTTTCGAGGCTTGCGCTACCAGTGTGCTAAACGCCCTTGTGAACGTTTTCCAGGCGACTTCTAGGGGCATTTAGTTAATAAGATCCCAGCTGCATCGTCGACAAGATTGGATAACATGTAGTAGTGCATGCCAGTATATACTTCATCGTACTTCTTTTCAGAATGTTCCTCACAACATATATAGTCAAACAACAGAGCAACATGTTCACTGCGACCAAATGGTGTGCTTGCAACCATCCCATCGACCATAATCTCTTCGCTGTTGGACACAAGATCCAGTATTGATGGCTGGTTTGCAGTTCGAAATCCGTAGGGCGAGATTACATGGTTGTACAGATATTAGCTGGAAATTAACCCCTAGCAAACAGGCTTTAGATTGTTCCCATCGGTTGTTGATAATTCCAGGTCGTGCACAATAGTCACCCGCGTTGAGAATATAACTGTTTGATTTGTTCAAAGCAATTCTTAAAACGTGGTTCTGTTTTGTGACCATGTTAATGTAGTTTTGTGGACGATGAATTAAGACTACGATACACATGTGTCCTCGTTCCGAAAACATAGCTGTCACTAATGGGAATCAGGGGTGCGCACTTATGGGTGATCAGAAACGTCACATAGATGCATAGCTTTCTAGTAAAAAAAATCCACGCCACCACCCTCCCAGTCCTATCGATCCGAAGCAGCGACATATGAAGTAAATTGATCTCAGAAACGGTTATCACAATATTTAACTAGGATGATGTACTTTTACTGAGATCCAGCAGTTGTGAGGTATGGCGCTCTCCAATTTCGGTTTACTTACTAACGTGAACTAGAGCGTTTGTATATAAACCGGATAGTGTATTCGGACGTTAGGAGTGTAGTGGTGGATGTAAAAATCGGGTATCGGTATAAGCTATTACCTTTGCTATTATTCAAAGAATTTCGTCCAGATGCAGGGCATTACCATGTTCCAGATGGGAATCCTCAAACGTGCTCCGCTCTGTCCTGTCGTTTACCGCGAGTGATGTTGTGGCGGCCCTCTCTTGGGGCTTTGGAGACAAAGAATTTGCTGCGATTGCAGTCCCCATCGAATTGCTGACAACTCATGGCCGTGAGTCCGTTAACTTTAGTCCGATCTCGGTTGGCAACCTAGTGCGAACTGGTGTCAATTAATAAAGCAACCAAACTACGGGTGCGTCATTCACGTGACAAAAGCTCCTGCGATAAACAGGACAACCGTGCGACGGTGACGACGAACTTGTAGATCACTCGCGTTCTACGTCATATGACCGGACAGGAGCAGTGACCGGTTGCAACAACAGTCGTCACCGACCGTGATTCCACTTAACAGTAAATGTAGCGATACTACATGCACCCGAGTGGTCAGGACAAGACTGATCTGCGATAAATGTGCAGTTGCATTCCACGCTAAGCGTGGTGGCTTAAGACAACTACAGTACATCCGATATGCTTGGATGGATCCCCGTAATCCAGCCATACTTGCACATTAAATTTCCGCATTTTGTGCTCCTTGATAAAACAGATTAATTCTGACACTTGTCCGTCGATCCAGTCGGTAAAGTGTGTTTGACGGGGAACGCGCACACGGCTACATCAACGTTTAATGCGCCAACACTTCCGCGTGGGAGCAATGGACTTCGCTCTATCTTTACTGTGTATGCATATGACATACTGGGCAGCTCCGTAACTGAGTCTGGCGACTCCAAATTCCACGGCGCTGCAGCTGGTCGAGAAATGAGGAACAGACCGACCACAATTGAACGATCGGTAGATTCTGGTCTCTGTGCTGTCGTCAGAATTTTTGGTGAGGCAAAATAAGCGAGCAAATACTTGGCAGCGACTGCAGCGTGCGGTACAGTTGACAAAATGCAGGTGACTTGTCAGTGTAACGATCCATTGCTCTCCTTGGGTCGTGTTACCTGGCTTGTAAACAGCTGTGCAACCGCAAACGGCATTGAATGTGCCTAAACTTTGCGGATGTATGTAAAAACTAGCAGGCTGTCCGGTCTGTAGTGACTCCGAGGTTAGCCGCGGAACTGTAGTCATCGGTTAGGTACTGGTTCTACCGTGATAAAGTTGGATATGTCCCTGTCGGACGAAAGTTCACGTGATACACAACTGTCGCTATCATTTTCCGCTGTTGCATCCGATCTATATTCCCAATGTCGTAGACAGACCAGCGTACACCTGAGCAATAAATGCTCTACGTGCGCTTATTTTTATACGGAGTACTTATAAAACACAGTAGTGGTGGACTCTCCGGTAGACTGAAACTTAACTCCCAACAAACCAGTTTAAAAAAGTGGGAACGACTTTAAACTTGGCCTTTCACATTAAAAATAATACAGGCTTAGTAGGTTAGTAATTGCTGGCTTCTAAACAAATAAATAAAATCTACTCTCGAATGTTTCGGGACACGCCAAACCGAGCACGATCATAATTTGATTACGCCGGGGGAATTTGGAGTCGCCAGACTCAGTTACAGAGCTGCCCAGTATGTCATATGCATACACAGTAAAGATAGAGCGAAGTCCATTGCTCCCACGCGGAAGTGTTGGCGCATTAAACGTTGATATAGCCGTGTGCGCGTCTCCCGTCAAACACACTTTACCGACTGGATCGACGGACAAGTGTTGGGATTAATCTGTTTGATCAAGGAGCACAAAATGCGGAAATTTAATGTGAAAGTATGGCTGGATTACGAGGATCAATCCAAGCCTATCGGATGCATTGTAGTTGTCATAAGACACCACGCTTAGCGTGGAATGCAATTGCACATTTATCGCAGATCAGTCTTGTCCTGATCACTCGGGTGCATGTAGTATCGCTACATTTACTGTTAAGTGGAATCACGGTCGGTGACGACTGTTGTTGCAACCGGTCACTGCTCCTGTCCGGTCATATAAAGTAGAACGCGAGTGATCTACAAGTTCGTCGTCACCGTCGCATGGTTGTCCTGTTTATCGCAGGAGCTTCTGTCACGTGAATGACGCACCCGCAGTTTGGTTGCTTTATTAATTGACACCAGTTAGAGTAGGGCTAGGTTTTTGACGTAAAATCTAGTGGGTGAATATCTCCAACGGGGTGATGTGGATTTGTCCACTTTAACTTAAATTCACAACTTAAGCTTTAACTTCCTTGGAAGCAGTGTTGTACAGTAATATTTAGACCATTCGAAAGCGCAGAGAATCCGTTATCGATTGCAACTTTACAACTCTGTGTTTTATTAAAACGAACAAAGTTGCACATGTACATTTTAGCACGGGACCTGCAGTAATCACGATCTCTAGTAAACTGTTTCGAAAAATAGTGCCCACTGAAAACGGGAACTTAATCCGAAAAGATGAGCGTTTGATGACTGCGATGAATGGAAACGAAGCAGAAATACCCATGATATAGAAGTGTGCTAGCTATGGGACCAGTTCTCGATTATTCGCTTCTGCGCCACCACAACTACGTATAATGTGACGTTGCTGTCACCGACGGGGATTCTAGCCGTTGACCTCCGGATTGGAAGTCAGGCTCGTAATCCGTTCGGCTATCGACAGCTATCCAACGAGCCAAATTTCAACCATACCTTTAGCTGGAAAGCGTCTGTAAAATGTTTCAGACAGGGGTATGTGGGTATTTTGATTGCCTTGCATGCTATAATTATTGTGATTTGGTAGTGAAATGCGATATATTAGTGAGTGACTGGACGATGCGTGACTGCGACTAGTTTCTGTGGCCTATCCAGCGCAAATCGTGATGCACTGTTCAGTTTTCTTAACCATACGGATGCACCTCTTATGTATCAAGTGATCTGATTATTTGCTGTTTGGATAGGCCACCGAAAGACTCAGCTCGCTATAGGAATAATTCCTACCATGCGTTTTATTTATCCACCCAGGGCATTATCGAACCATTGGCCGAGGCAACTCTGTCAGTGACTTTTCGTACGCAGCAGAGAGGTCGGTTAGAGAGAACGTTAAAAATTTCAATTTGTGATGTCGAAACTGCGGAATTGGTGAGTTTTGATTTTCTTTCATATCTCGGCAACGTTTGACAGAATCCCCGGTTGTGTACAAATGACAAGCTTCAAATGTGTGTTTCCGGGTCTCTGTCTATCCTTGTGGTTCTGCATATACTCCGCTTGCTTATATATTTAAAAGTGATCATATATGTATAAATAAAGTCTACATTACATGTCGGCTACTGAGCTGAGGCACATGTTGTCGTTTTATCCAAATTTCCAGAATCATTTCATTAACCTGACACTTTTCAGGTTCGTAACTTATAGAAACATATATGAGTCAAACAAGCTTGTTAGTTGAGAACACAGTAATACTTTAAGAAACTCACTCTGAGAATGGTTCCACTCGTCATAACCCCGCATCCATTTGCTCTGTTTATCTTTGTTCACTATTCTTAAACCGCGACACACCTGTTTCCCTTATTCTGTGTACCTCAACAGGTAGTTCCAGTTACTTGCGTTGGTGAGGGACCGGTTCTGCATGTGGAGCCCACTAGTGTTAACTGGGGCACAATACCAGTACTACAGACGACGACAAGATGCATCCGTTTAACCAATGAATCGGCTATTGATGCCACGTTTACTGTGAAAACGGTGAGTTCAAGCGAGAACAGGCTAACAGACCAACACTCGTGTGTACCTTGGCCTCACAACACATACCTCGTCTCAGTAAGAGATTTCTGCTGCACTGCTACAACACTGACTTGTCATGAGGTGCGAAGATAAATGTCATGTGTTAGCATTGTTTGACAGCTTCGAACCACCACACGGTAACTCGGTCCAATAAGCAAAACAGTGTAAAGAGGACAGTTTTGACAGTGAGGACAATGGTTGTTGCGAGCCTTGTGACTACTTCCATCCACATTGGCGGTAGTCAGAACACAGACGAGAAAGAGTAAACTTATGTTCTCTTTTCATAGGGAGACGATACTGACACGTAAATGGAAAAGCAAACTAACGCGGTGGATTCGGTCTGATAGACAACGCCAAAAAGGACCGAACCTATAAGGAGTTAATCGGATGCACACATACACACACACACACAGAAACGAAAGTGCTAGCAATAACCTCAGGATAGAATTGTTGTCCTAAAGCAAAAACAACGACTAAACAGCCAATGGAGTTAGCAAGCTGACACTTTAACGCAAACCTCGATGAATGAGCACAACAAAAGTACTCTCAAGTTATAAACTTCTGCGTAACCATACTTAAATCATACACATTACCTCACGGTTTTCCCCGTATTTAATTATGTACACCGAGAGACAATAGCTAAGATAACTTTATGCTGTAGATGTTAGCGCTAATAAGGCGCGAGCATGCTGCTAGAAGTGATAATTTGTATGCATCAAAGTACAGCATAGAACATGTTGTCGGATACGCACTTTTTGCGGAGAGTACTCCTCTCGACAAATCTTCTCAGGCATTTACGATTATAAATTGGAAAGGTAGAACACAAATTGCTGATGAAGCCAAAGAGGTTGGAGTAGTGGAATCACGACAAACAGAAACTCAAAAGTCTTGGTCAATAAAGTCCACTAACACCACATGTGACAGAGCACGTGTTTGTTGATCGGTGGAATCCCAAGCGCATCATCCGACCACTGTAGAGGCACGGAGTGATAAAGGTTGGTAAGCTAACTGGGGCCAAGGTAGAAGATGCCCTTACAGCAAAGCCTTCTGTTTGCATAATTCCGGTTGAATTATTCTAATAGCGCTCGCTTCGGCCGTCCGTAAGATTTGCTTCCTAAGACCTTTAGTGTACCATGGCTGTATTATGTAAAGCATTTAGAAGGCATCATCGGTCCTAATTCGGGTGACATACTTGTTCAAACTCCGAAGCTTCGAAACCAAACAATCACGGCAACACCCTAAGAATACAAGAGTTCATGTTTACGATTAACCGGAAGTCAGATATTCAATGCAGCCAACAATGTGTTTACCTCCAGTAAGGTCGACTAGAGAGACCCACTTAACTGCCTCGAATCCGCCACAATAGATCGCAAATAATCCACATGTATTCACCTTGAAATTCGGAGAGATGGCATATTGCTTGAAAAATAACCGGGAAGTGGGTTGTTTGATAGGCATACAGATGGCTGGAACGGCAGCGAAGAGGAAACACCTACCTTGTTGTTGCTATTCAATCCACACACTATCCCGCGGGCAGTTTCGTAATCGTTTATTGTCTGCAACTAGTCTTATTCATTTGTATGTGTGGAACAAAGGACTTGATAATTCCCAGCTGGCACCTTTACCCCTAGGCAAATGAAATCCTTGAACAACACCGAGTACAGCGTTCAGAACTGCAAAACTGGGTTTGGAATGCCCGCCTTGTAGCTAGTTTGCGACATGCAATCTCGATTGAGACCTCGGTTCACTTTGAAGTAGACTTCGGTCTTTCCAATCACAAGGATAGTACCCGAAACGGGGGCGTTTCGACGTGGCTGCTCCCAACACTGATACCGCATGATCGGTTTCGTCCACCTTTGGACTCATCGGGCAGTCATAGAATGAGCCGGAAGTAGAACTTGTGACCTAATGGTTAGCGCTTGACGCCTTGGATACTAGACCGTTAAAATCCGTGAGCAACACTTGACGGAGCGATTAAGGATTGAGTGTTATCTTTTACAGTACCCACTCGTGTTTGGATTACTACGTGTAATCCCATTTTAAATTGTAAGTTATGCTACGATAAGCTTCGGTCTGCTCGATAACGGGAACTGCATTTAGAGCATATTAATGTGTTGTCGCTTATGCAGCATAGGGAACACTTCAGACAGAGACATCTTACTGAAGACTATAAACTAAGACTTAGGAGCTGTCTATAGGCATCCCTACATCTACAATACCCATCTCCACATATAGTGCTCATGATAACGGATAGAATTTGATTAGGTTTTTTATGTAGTCCCGCCAACTGCTGTCACCCCACGATCGCAATACGAACGCCTAATCAATTCAACATTAACATTTGGTGCGGCAAGTACGATACCGAGCGTAAACTAGACAGATAGCCGCTTGACCTCAGAACATAAAGGTTCCAATTTTGGGACACCAAAATGGAACCTCGGGGGCAGACGTAAACCAGTTGGTTTGAGGTAATGCAGCCTGCTGTGATCCATGGGTCAGCGTGTCTACTATGGACTTGTCCTCTGGGTGGCCGTCGAAACAGGATCGCGTATATCATAAATTTGCCAATGGTCTATAGAGTGGTTGCTTTTAACTGCCTAGCTTTTGATGTCTACTCCACATCGTATGCTCAGGTTTAGTGGCCCGCATACGATGTTCTCTAACGCCATTCGTTCTAACCCATCTCATCCTCCTTGTGGTCAGAATGAATTTAGTTCACGCTGGGCAACGTTAACTCCGCACTGTCTTGCCGACTCGCATGGGCGGCACTTGAGTTCATCGGCGCGGATGCGCCTTTCGCTGTCAGGCCCAATTTGTCCCCCTCCATCGAATTCGGAATCGTGCTATGCTTCGGCCGTATGAGGACGATTCCATTCAGATCCATCCCTCTGGTTCGTGTGGTGTCGTCCTTTCGAGTGGCCGGAGCCTGATTGACACTGACTCCGCGACGGCTCCACTCACACAAATTACTAGCCACTATCACATCACAGCACCCGGGGAATGAAGACCCCATGCTTCATTACAATATGATTGCGTTGGTAGCCTTATTACACGAGATGCCGAGTGAACATTCAAATCGAAATATCGGATGGATATTAATCTGCTCTTTTATATATAAGCGTTTAACGCCCTGTAGCTTGCATTCGATGCAAATGGCAAGAAATGACGCTTCCGATGACTGAACGATTGCCATTGTGAAACATAAATGTCCACGTGTTTGTGCATGACCAAACACGCATAAATGTTGTGATGCGGTAGCCAACATTGAAATGCACGGCCAGATGCATAAAGTCACTGCTGACATGTAAAACTCGTGAAATAGTCCAGTAAAACTAAAATGTGTAGACCTCTTCATTTGGAGAGAAGAATAATGCAAGCAAATGATGGTTACATCCCAAAGACCAGCCAAATGGGTATGCACACCAGAGGTTTTGAGGAAACGAAACATTTCCTTACCGGACCATCGGCTGATAGTCACGAGGCGCACAATCTACTTTCTTATCACTTTACAAATTACCAACGCTCACACTTTCAGCAATGGTTTACAAACTACTTTGGTTTGCTACACCTGACCACTATAGGATTAGCACTGTGATAATTTACGCCCACGCTATTCTGAACCCCTTATGTGCTTCCATTATGTGAACTGTTCAGTTTTCCACAGCAAAGATACAGTCAACCTCTGAATCTGACAGCCTCTTTAAGTTGACCGTGTTGAACCTACACCCTGCAAACCATAGCGAACGAGATCTCCGTATGTTGGCCACCACTGTAAATTGTGTGTGGATGACCTTGGCTACAACTGTCATTAGTATTTTAACCTCCGAAATTGATAACCTTTATCTACTGACCACCGCCCTAATTGGGCCGTTTTATTTTTCATTGCTTGAGGTTTTACCACGTGAACCCTATGGATCCAGACCTATGTAAGTTGCCCAATTTGGTCCAATCCCTTGAGTGGTCAACTTACGGAAGTTATACTGTATAGGTAATGAGAAGCATATTACCTCTGCTAGAAAGCTGAACAGAAACAACGCCCACATCCTAACCGTCAAAAACATTTTGACGAAAACCTCAAAGTGCATTGAAAATATATTGGGCGCTGATAGTGGTGAAGCAATGGTACGTCAAACAGAAAACATCAAGATATCATCGACCGTCGTCACCGAGAAACAGTCGCAGGTGTTTCGCCGGTTTTATTAGTGAAAAAAATGTTTCTTCCAACAACTCCAGGTAACCATGGTGGTTTCTCATCATCGATTACAAGTATGGAAATATCCTACTCACGAGTACACTAAAGCAAATCCGCTAGGTCGTACACAGCTGCGGTCAGTAGACGTCGTGTCTTTCGGGGCAAACCCTGTCATCACCAACGCTCGAAACTTACATGGTATTGGAGGATGGAGCGCGTTGTATCGTAGATAATAGCAGCAAGTTCCTTGACCAATTTGAAAAACACGGTAAGAAGACAAAAGCTGGTAGATGCATGCATTTCATGTTGTCTCGTCAATACTATTAACAATAACTGGGATGCAACTATATAAATACAAAACAAGCTTGAGGTGCAAAATGAATGACGGAAATTCCACTCCTATGTCCACGGCAGTCTTGAACTCACAAATAACGTGGACCCTGCTCGCACATTCCGGGTGATCTTCGCTTCAAGTAATACCCATGTTTTACGATATGTCGAAGCGGTGGCAATCAAACAACTGCGCCACACCTGGTGTGTACAAAATGATGCGTTCGTCACAGTGGCTCTGCAGTGGTAGTAGGCCAGCAGACAAACGAACAAGTGTGTGAATGATTGTCTGTGTGTGTCAGTGTATGTCCTATGGTTAATTAGCGATCACAACTGTACCAAATATTCATGATGATATTTACATATATTTGTACTCAAGCTACAGTATGCACTTGAGAATAGGCAGAGAACGTTTTCCGGATATAAATCGTGTGTTGTT